CGCGGCCCGGGGGCGGGGAGGCCGCCTTTCCCAAACCGGGTCTTCCCGCCCCTCCTTTCCCCGCCGGGGTGAGGGAGGAGTGGGGCCGCATCCCGGGATGAGCCTGGCCCTGCCCTGGGGAAGGTGCGCCGAGGGACCCAGCGGCCCGCGCCTGCAAGTGTTCGGGGGCGCCCTAGGGTCCCGCCCTCGCAGGGGGAGGCGGCCACCCTCTCGGCGCCCCACAGCTGTTGCGGAGGGGTGGGGCAGGGCGCAGGCTGCGGGAGGGGGTTCGCAGCCACACCCCTGCGAGGCTGGGGACAGCCTGAGGCCTGGGGCGCCAGCAGCTGGGGAAGCGCGGCGGGGGCGTGCGGCCGCGAGGGGGCTTTCAGCCTCTGAGGTTCAGGCCGAATTTAACACCGACTGGCGCCCCCACCCTGCCAGGTTTCCTCGAGTCTGTCGCGCTCCACTGTCACCCCCCCACTCAACCCTGCTTCTGCTGACTTCAAGGTACACCTGCCCCCCCCTTGCCAGCCCACCAGCTCTGAAGTCTTCTCCCCGCAGGGAGCTATGGGCCCCTTCCTGTCCCCACTCCTGGCGCCTCTTTTCCTGAGCCCCTCCTCTGGGGAAGTCTTTGTCGCTGAAGAATGCCTGGGGCAGGGGTGGAGTAGCAGGGCCTGCAGAGTTGGGGAGTGGGTTTGCGCCTGTGTGTTGTGGGAACTTGGGGTCATGACTGTGGGGTTGCTGCCCACGTGCAGGTGATGCCTGGGGGTACACGTGTGGGGTGAAGGCATGTGTCTGTGAGGGCAGGAGGACCGTGTGACCACAGGGCACCGTGGCCATCGTGTGAGTGTGACTGTGTGACAGGGAGCGGGGCCTGAGTGTGATGGGGGACAGCCCTGGCCAGCTGTTGGAGTGGCCCTTGGTGCTGGGCCGGTGTACGCTTGCTCACCCATGCTCCCGCGAGTGCCACGCACGTGTGTGTTTGTCTCTGTGTCCGATGAAGGGGGACGTTAACACCCAGAGCAAGCACACCCTTGTAAGGTAGGCCCTGGACAGCTGGGGTCAGGAGGCTGCTTGCGCATTTTCTGACTTAGCCCTGAAATATTCTGGGGAGAGGGAGGCTGGCAGAGCCCAGCTGCTGGCCGTCTGGCACCCAGTCGCTGTTTGCTGTGGTGCTAAGCAACAAGGCAGCGTCTCCCCTGCCACCCCTGCGCCCAGGAGCTGGCCTGGCAGACCTCGCCTCCCCTACGCCGTCCTCAGGCTGAAACGCTGAATCCTTCAGGCCCCCAGAGGCCCCTCCACCTCCCTGCCTTTGCTCCTGAGGTTCCCTCTGCCTCAAACGCCTTTCCAGGCCTTCCCACTCTCCTCCCTATGCTCCTTCAGTCCCAGCTGAGCATCCTCCTCCAAGTGGCCCTCCCTGACTGCACCGGGCCCTGTGGCCCACTGCTGTCTGTCTCCGCCCCGTCTATCCTGCACCAGGAGGCTGTCCCAGGCCCTTCCTTCTCTGCAGGAACACTCAGGGACTTGTGTTTGCTGCTGTGATCCCAGGGCCCTGCCGGCCCGCACGGTGAGACGTTAACAGAGCGGTGGCTGCATAACGAAAGAGGGTGACCCTACCCAGGCCAGGCCAGGTGGTGTTCGATGCCTGCTGTGTGCCAGACCTGGGCCACTCGCTGCCTACTGAGGGAGACAGGCCCCATGTGTGCCCAGACTGCACAGACCAAGGTGCAGAGGCAACACGGGGCTCAGCTCACCTGGCCAACACTGGCGCTTGGTCTGGGCCAGGCCCTTAGAGTGAACAGTCTTACTTGGCCAGGCCTGTGAGACGCTAGAGCAGCCATGGGGGGATAAACCCATGCAGGGGTCTGCCACACACTGGGTGGCGTGGTGTGATGGGCTCTGACAGCCGGGGACACCAGGGACAGGAAGAGCGCAGTGCCAGCACCGGGGCTGGCCCTCTGAAGAGTGAGTGGGCCTGGGAGCATGGCAGAAGCCTACTGTGAAAGCCGGCACAGCCCGTCTCCCTGTTGAAGGCCAAGTCCAGGAGAAAGATGAGCTCTGGGCTGGCCCCTGTCCTCGGGGCTCCTTGGCCCTGCTGTGAGTCCAGGGCTTGACTCCTGCCGACCCGCCCACTGGCCCTCTTGCCTTTTGGCTTTGGGTGGGGTCTGGCCAACAGCGGCCACCAGCAGCAGAGGAAGGAGGAGTGAGACCCGGGTGCGCCTCATGCCCTCCGCCCCGTGATGTGGGGTGCCAGGCTCCTCTGCCACCGTCCTGCCGGGTGGCCTTCATCCCCAGTCCAGCTCTGGCCAGGCTCCTTAAAGACGCTTCCTCCCTCTGCCCTCCAGGCAGGCCATGCCTCCTCCCCCTGTCATCCCAGGTCTTCCCCAGTTCTGCTTGCCTCTGTGAGCTGTCCTCCCCGTGAGCCGTCCCCCGTGAGCTGCCCCCCCACATGAGCATCCCCCCCGTGAGCCGTCTCCCCGTGAGCAGTCCCTCCATGCAGGCCCTCTGTGTAGGCCCCCCGTGAGCGGT